TTATATACCCTAAAGAGGTAGTGCCCTTATCAGTCCTTCCTGGAATGACCAACTATGAGCTGGAGTGGGGGTTCACAGGATACGACAAAACAGTATGGGACTGTTACACTGGTGGAGAGAAGAAGATTTTTCGGCCAAAATCGGTTGAATTCGAAACCAATCGGTTGCTATGATAACTGTTTCAAATGCCTACTTTGTGATAAAAAAAACTTTCAAACCTTTTGTCTTATGTCTTTTTGTCGCCCATTTCAATATTGTCATTGATCGCCATTGTGATGAAAAGAAGAAACACAATTTATTTCTTTATAAATATGTGTATGTAATGTATGTACCTTGTATTTTTCGTTGTTGCGTCTAAGGATGTTATAATAAAAGCTGCCAAGGAATAAAAATGAAAAATTTTCCTCCTATTCGAACAATGGAAAATTGATACGATGAATGATTCATTGGAAAATATGGATAATCAGTTTATAATGAGAATAAGTAGGGTTTGTAAGGCCCTTATCAGCCCTTCCTGGAATAATCAGGTAGGGGTTGGAGTGTGGAAGGGTGGTTCACAGGATACGACAAAACAGTTGGCATGGGATTGTTACATTGGTGAAGAGAAGAAGATTTTTCGGCCGAAATCTGTTCAATTCGGAACACAGACCAAAAACGTAAAGACCGAAATTGTTTTGTCCAAAATTATTCTAACTATACTCTAATTTATCACATGTTTTTGTTATAGCTATTGCAAAGATCTGTTAACCTTGAAAATAACGTTACATTTACAACAAAATATAATTCAATACGTACATTTTCATACTTGATATTTCCGGTTGTACTTGAATGGTATATGTGTATAATAAGTATAGCATAGTGAATTTTGTGTGCGCATTGCAATTTTATAAGACGTATGAAGTATATAAAAGCCCTTAAAATATGTATTTCTGATAAAGTGTATTGCGTACATTGTCTATACCAGTGCTCGAAAACATGTGCCCTTTTTCTCAAGCCAACTCTATGCTTGTTGTTTCATAATTAAAATCTATATTATTAATATTCACTCCACATCTATTAATTCCTCTTACACTGAAACCAAACTAATAAATGCTCGGCGCCTACTTTACCTACCCGTGCACAATTAAGGTTAATATCAATATCACACAAATTCAAAAAATAAACATTGTATTTTTTTTCATTTAATTATATAATGAAAACCAAAAATCTATAAAAAAAATTATTTAGTTCAGTATTAATTGAAAATATAAATTTATAGACAACAAAATAATGTTGTTAGCTTCTCGACCTAATACAAATTAGTAAATAAATATAAATTTATACTGTGGAATCTCGCTTAACGAGCAACGTTTCGCATAACGAGTGACGATGAGAAGAGAAGTCCCTGATTGTCTGCCTGCTACATCATTTTTAAAACTTGTGAACACATATTATGTGTATTTTTAAAAATATTAACCATCTTCGATTTTTTTTGTCATCTTTATTTAAAGCAGACAATACTTTGCAAATATAATTTGTGTTTGCTGTTAATGTACGCTTTTTTATATAAACAAATATTAAAAGTATAAAGAGACTTTCAACAAGTTCCCGTAATGATAATATACAAATATAAACTCACTTCACCTGTGTGTGAATTGGAAAACAGTTCCTAGTGTTAGTGGTCATTCTAGTGTTGTTTGCTATTACAAAATTTCCAAACTTTTGTTCAGACATATTATTTGTGTTTTTTTTTTTGTGCTAAATTTAATAATACTTGCATGTCTCCCAATAAAAAGCCAAAGAATAAAAAGAACCATACATAAAAAAGCAAAATCATTAAAAATCGAGACCAAATTATAGTTTTTTTTTTCTCCGATATGGAACGCATTATCGTAATTTGCATCAGTTTATATGGAAAAACGTGTTTCTCTATGAGTGAAAATCCGGAAAAAAAATACGGATTAAATTCGTTAAGCGAGGTTCCACTGTAATTAATAAAATTTAAAAAAGGTATAGATTTTTCATAGACTTCCACCTTCAATTCTCTATGAGTAGATCTTCTGTACTTAAAACATCGGTCGAGAACGTGTTCACGAAACACGTGTCCTATGCTCGTGCCTTTCATGCGATTTTTTGCCGAACGCATCAATAAACATAACTTTTATTTGTAATTAATACGAAATGTTAATTGCTGTTTTAATTTGTGATACAGAAATACCTCGCATAGTGCGGTTAATCGGTTTCGCCAATACCCCGCACTGTTTGAAAGTGTACTAAAGAAGTTTGTGTTGCATTTATTTTTACTTTGCTGAATTAAAAATATGTTATGAAATTTTCAAACCGTAATATACAAAATCCGCACTGATCGAAGCCGCACTATACGAGTTATTGCTGTACTCATGTATAGACATATCTCTATTAATATTTTTGTTTGCAGGAAATAGGTAAACATCGAAAAAAATTAATCGTTTTACTTTTTTCGAATTAAAAGAAATGTTTGATTAGGACATTCATTGCGTGAAGTTGATGTTATTTGTATATATTTTTTGTTATTAATATAAGATGTTAATTGCTGTGGGGGTAGGTTAAGTAACTTTAGGAGCCGTAGGGTGCCGTGGAGAAAAACAATTGAGACAGTGTCGCTCATCAGCGAGGCTTTTAAAATAATTATTCTACAGGACAATGAACGTAATGAAGCTAATTCGGAAAATTACATGGATGACCGACAACAATGATGTTTCCCTTTGTAGACAAAAAAATAATCATTATCGTGCAGACTATTAATGAAAACGCGTGCACATATCCAAATTTACACACACACACAAACAAATATGACAGATTGGTCAAATGTGCTCAGCACGCATACCGGATGCAATCGGATTACAAAACGTGCGAAAGGAACGTGCTTTATATGATTTTACGGATCTCTCGTGAGCCATGACCGAGAGAATACATAGACGGAGGCATCAGCCTCGACCGCGTGATCGCGTCGATCCAACAAACGCTCCGAATGTGTGAGAAAACATGACCAGACAACGAATTCAACAACAAATTGACGTGTTGTGCAACTGGCGGCACACGAACCCTCAAGAAATTTCACAAATAAATAATTTAAAAAAAAAACAAAACAAAAGAAGCACGAAAATAAAATAAATAATAAACGAGAGAGGTTGATCCATAAATAGCCTTTGACCTCTTAAGCTCGAGCATCGCCAGACGGATGGATGGATTCTTGATTGATAATGAAAAAGTGTGTTTGTTGAGGTGTAGGATCACCTTTCAATTATAAGCCCGTTTATTGGAAACAACTCGAATTACATACTCACTCAAGTATATATAGTTTAATATGTTTGTTGTACAATAATGAGATATATGGTATTTATATGATCGCCTTTTCATTATATGATGCTTCCCTCTCTAAATATAGAGTTTCCGGCTTTTCGTTCAAAACTTCACGTCTCTGTAGCGTACATACTAATACGGAATTAGTGAAGTATGTTTAATGTCAGCATTATATTTGGGTCTGGCTAAGCTTCTCATCATAATCATCATAAATACATTTAATTAATCAAATATACTTATAATTTCGTATATGTCATTTGCTTACTATTTCTACTATAAAAAGGTTACCATTTTAAGAAAGTCGCTAACAAATAAATATTATTATGCGAATTTATCCTGTGACGCCATATTTTAGTATTTTCAATCAATTACGTTGTAAAAATAATAACTGGTAAAGTTATTTTTTTCGTTACATAATTTATATTTTATTCGTATGTCAAAGGGTTAAGAAAACAAGCGAAAAGCGTCTATTGGTTAAATAAACTTATTTATGAAATCAGAAAAACGTCAAATTGACGTGATCCGTAAAGTCCAGGAATACCAAATTTGCATGTTAATTTATTATGATCCATTCACAACAAAAATATTAGAGGGTGATCCTTTATTGCCAACTTTAAAACACACCGCACACACCCACATCCAATTTCTTGGTTTTCCAAATTTCCTCAATCTTGGTCCATCCACGTTTCTTCTATATGACAATTGTCAAATTTTGAGTAAATTTAATTAACATTAGAAAATCATTATTTTTCTGTAAGATATTCATTGCAGCAACTTTCTATTGTTTTCTTTTCATCAACTAAATTCTAATGCAAAGTGTAAATTATTTAACTACTATTACTTACTAGCTTGTATATATTATACAGAAAATTGAAAAAATTCAATTAAAAAAAAGCACGTTTCACTTTTGAACAAAATATCAAATAAAAAAACAAATTTTTGAAAAAAGCTTTTTCAAATCAAATTAGTATTTTTTTTTTCAAAATAATGTCTGGATTAATATATTATTTAGGATTTTTAATTAATTATATTTCAATTATTCAATTAGATTCTTTTTAATTTGTATATTTATATAATTTGATCAAGGTTGTTAATTATTTTGTATTTAGTTTTAATTGTTAACAGTATTAACAGTATTTATTAATATTATATAGGCTGGATCATCGGATTTCAATTTCCACCCATATTTTTTTTTTATACGAGTTGGCATCTCTAATGTTTGACATTTGTCATCTGTTGTTTTTGAGGTTATTAAAAGTGGGTCGCCATATAAAAGAACAACATATTGTGATTGTTAAAACACATTACAAATTTAGCAAAAGTTTTGCAGATACTGTTCGAAAATTAAAAAAAAATCATCTTTAGCGATGAAACTCCTTTTCATATGGATGGTTTTGTTAATAAGTAGAATTGTCGAATTTGGGACAATAAAAATCCTAGAGTTATTAATGAAAAAACGATGAAAACATAAACAGTCACAGTTTATGAGCTGGAGGTTTAATTGGACCGTTCTTTTTTGA